GCTTCCGCTAACCCCTTATTTTGTAAATCTGTTTTAGAGGCCATAGGCAATCTTAGGATTACTGGCTGGTTACGACGCTAAATCTATAGGGGCAGGTTTGGGTCGTGACACCTATGGTTATTTGAATCTCCTAAGGCATGAGACCATCAGAGGGTCACTAAAGTGATAATTCAGAGACCAATGGTTGTTTAAGTCCCCCAGGCATGGGACCTTCATGGTGGTACTTATAAAATAATTGTTCAAAAACATATTTAATAAACGGTTATATCTATGGATTTTCATTTTTACGCACATAGAGTTCATAAGTAATTAACGTAATTAAAACATTAATATAATTGATAAAGATGAATTACATAAAATAATTTATAGTAACTCAAAATATACATAAAATATTTTATAATAACTCAAGATATAATATTATTCATCTTACTATTAATCCCTTTACTTTTACTTCTTCGTTCACCAAAACACCCTCTTTTGCTGACTGATTACCCTTTCTTTTGGTCTCATTTGGTGTATCTCCCTTGGACAAAATGACCACACCATGAGGTAGTCTCTTCATTCCAAGCTTATCAGCTTATCTCTCTTTTGTTTTTTTTGTGTGTGTATGTGTGTGAGCTTTTCTACAACAAATTTGTTTGCTTAATGTTAAATTAAATATATATATATATATATATTTTTTTTTTACTGTTGTTCTTATTATTATATTAATTCAACATTTGGGGTGCCGTGACAAAGATCCTCCAAAGAGTGCCTTTGTTTACTATGAAAGGTCTTGGCATGCAACCAAGGGCCATACTGAAGCGGGAGAGGATGCTTAAAACCAGAACCACCCAACGTGCCTATACATTACTTGTCGCCATGACCTAGCACGCCACATGCATAGCAAAAGTTGGAAAGGCTTTCATACTTGAAAATCACCCAGATCGCCTCACAGTTAGGGACTTGAACGTTCATACCCCTCCGCAACAGCTTCGTTATATCAATAGAAACCTGGAGATGAAGAAAACGACCCTAGGCCATACCATCCTCTTCAAGATCAAGAACAATAACTTCATCAATACGGTTACCAATCAGCCGCCCCACCTCTTTCGTCATGCCACCCAATGGTAAATCATGAACTTGCACCCTGAACGCAGCCTTAGAGAACACAATCTCAAATGGCTTAAGAGACAAATCAAAGTTCTCCAACAGTACAAGAAACTTATCGAAACTTCGTGGACCATTCACGAGAACTCGTTTCTTATCCACAATATGATTAAAATGGACAAGAAAGAGATTGTCCCCCAGACACTTAATTTCCAGACCCTTGGCAGGCTTTCAAATAGCCTTAAGCGTGGACATAAGAGCAAGGGTTTGGTAGTAAGTAACTTTCCCACAAAGCATAACCAAGCCATATCTTCGATAGGTTTGGTATGGGTATCTTGAACAATGATAGCATCCTCTTTCGTCAATATCAACCGTGAAGCAAGATCTTCAATAGAATCCATCACACTACCACCCCAAACACACTCTCACAGAGAAGAGAGATACTTGCACAACAAATCGGCCGGCAAGAGAAAACCCCACCCAAGTAACCTTACAAGAGAGAAACCTACGAGAGGAAAAAAAATGAGATGTAAAGGAGATAAAGTGTAATTGGAGCTTAAGTAATGTTGAGTCAAAGAATCTAGATCAAGCCCATAGGTCTTTTTAAGAGTGCTTTGATTCTATTTGGTGTAGTTTCTAGCAATACTAAAAAAGAGAAGCTAAAAATGCCTCTCTCCTTACGTCCTACAATCAACTCTTTAAAGTTTATTTAGGTTATTTTTATCTCATAACCTGTTAAGATTTTGTTATTGGTAATCTCGTTTGACAAAATTCTTTTCAGTTGTAATTTTATTCGTTCTTTTATTTTAGTGAGGTTTTGAGTATTTAGATGCGAATCCAATCCGAATTGTGCATTGTAGAGGAGTTTGTGATGTTAATTCTTTCATGTTTGCCACTTTGCTGACTATGTCGAGAGATCGAGCGAAGATGCAATCCACTCAGAAGTTTTACTCGCCTGCAAAAGTACTGGGAGTTGAGATTTTACGCTCGAGCGATCTTTCTTTCGCTCGAGCGATCTTTCTTTCGCTCGAGCGAAGACACTTGTTTAGAAACATGCGTTTAAGTCACATCACTCGAACGGCCATTCCTACACTCAAGCGGAGATCACGATTCGGCCTACTATAAAGCTACGATTAAATCAGTTTCTAGCGTACGACTTCCAAATCTTCTTCTTGAGTATTAGGATTTTCATTCTAGAGCTTCTTTACTTGTTTCCTTTGATATCTGTGAGAGTTTATATCATGAACTGAGTGGGTTATATCAAAGGGTTTGTTTATTTTGTTTTATTCACAAAAGAGAGATTTGTTCTTCGGTAGATTCCATGGAATTTGGGCCTGAGGCTTTGGTGGATTCCAGAGTGGCTCATTATCATGGATTTGACATCGACGTTGTGGATGCAACGTTGGACAAGATAATTTCAATATGAAGACGGTGGTGGAAGAGGCATATAGGGGTCGGTTCAATTCGGACGTAGATTCGCTAGGTAATTGAGGATACATTTGTGTAATTCCTTTTATCTTCTTAGTGGATTGTTTGTGGCTTTTGCCCATGATTTTTTTTTATCACAATTGGAGGCGCTCCAATTGTAATTTTTCCACGTTAAATTATTGTGTTCATTTGTCTTTGATTGTTTGATTGAAATTATTATTTACTAGTTAAAATTAATATATAATCACAAATAAACATCTCGAAAATTTTTAGATTTTTCATAACCTATAAATAAAAATTATATAAAAAATTTCGACATAGATTTTCAGAATAAAAAGACTACAAGCAGTTTCATAAGTTCTACCAAACAATCCATATTTTGGCTATTTGATTGGCTCTCTCTTTTGATTTTTTTTTTTTATAATAATTTTATTCACTAGAGATCATTAATGCATCATGCACATAATAATAATAATAATAATAATAAGTAGCGTTTGGTAACGTTTACGTTTTTTATTTATGTTTATAAAAATTTTATAAATTAATTTTTGTTTATTTTTAGAAAAATATAAATTACAAACGCGTTTAGTTTGAACAAAATATTTGAAAAATTTTAAAAATATAAACTAAAAAATATGTTTGTTCAAGTTTAAAATATTTATATTTATTTTTTATTATTTATGACAATGGGATCATACACATTATAATTAAAAAAATTAATTGAAAAAAAAATTGTTAGTCAAAATTTTAAATTTCTATTTAAAAAGAAACGTAAACTCATTTTTTGATTTTACGTTTTTTATTCAAATTTGTAAACTGAGACAACAATTTATAAACCAAAAAATTATCAAACAAGTTTTTATGATAATTTTTAAAATTTTTATAAATATAAATTGAAAACTGAAAACAAAATAGTTACCAAACAGACTCAATCTACATTTATTTTGAATGTGATTTTTATTATATTTAGAATCATTTTGAATCACATATTAATTTTTCTCTACATATTTTTGTGCACGAAGCATTATTATAGGTGGAGAAACACGATCAACTTTGAATGACATAAGAAGCACTAGCAATAGGAAATATTTGAAGTGGGAGATTGACTTCAGAGCCCTAGTGATGCAATTGTAATGTAACTTTATGAAGAAAATTGGCTTTAGTTAGTGGTCATATGTGTAGTTTGAATGCACTTATAAGTGACAAACACCATTTAAATCAAGGAAGCAGAGAGAATCGAAAGGTCAAAAAAGTTTGTCCACTCCAAAAAAATTTGATCCGATGAATCTGAACTTTTTTTTTTTGCTACAAAATTTCACCAAAACATGTTGCGTAGAAATTACATGGCCAAATTATAAGACGATGTCTAAGGCAAATTTTTTTTGAGAGACCCTTTTAAATAAATATATTTTAACTTTTTAATATATATTTTTTCAATTCTTATGGGCCTCATTTGGCAAGTGATTTTTTTAGTCAAAAAATTAAAAAAAATTTAAAAAAATTAAAAAGCCAACAACCTATACAAAAAAATTAAAGATTTCATTTTCTCTTTACTTTTTGCATATCTTTTCGTTAAAAATCGAAATGTCATCTCAAACATACTAATTTTTTTACATTATATTTTAGCAAAAAATTAAAAAATTACTAAAAAAGTCTGTTATCCAAAAATTCATTATTATAGCAGTCTTTGAACAAGGATTATTATTATTATTTTAATGGTCTAGATCCACTACAACAAAATTCACATTTGGCGACCAAAATGGGTGACTAAAAAAAATTTAGTCGCCAAAAGTTATGAAATTAGCGACCAACTAATTTTTTTAGTTGCCAAAAGTAAAATATTTAGCTACTATTTTTTTTTAGTCAAGGTATATTGGTTTTTGGCGACTAAAAAAAATTTTAGTCGCTAAAAATGCTAGAATTGGCAACCAAAAAAATTTTAGTCGCCGTATATTAAGTTTTGGTTACTAAAATCATCTTGTCACCGAAAGAAAAATAAAAAATTAATTTTTTACCTTTGGCGACCAATTTTTAGTCGCCAAACGTTTATTTTCAGCGACAAAAAGAATCTTGGTCGCTATATGTTGAGTTTTGGCTACTAAACCATTTAGTCGCCGAATGAAAAATAAAAAATTATTTTTTTACCTTTGGTGACTAAAAGTTTAGTCACCAAAAGTTCTTTTTCAATGATAAAAAAAAATTTTAGTCGCCAAAAAAGAATTTTATTGTTATTTGGCGACCAAAAATATATTTAGTCGCTAAAGGTTATAACATTTGTTTTAGAGGGAAACAAATTATTTTTGGCGCCCGATCTATTTACACTATGTTCTGTCTCTTACACACACTGACACACGATATACACTTCTGTGTCAAACACTAGCAAACCTCACCCTCACCATCTCGACTCACCATCCCTGCTAACAGTTACCATCGAACTTCCACCACCTACCATCGCGGCTCTCGCTACTGCCTCTGACCATCGCGGCCCCCCTCCCAGCCACATTCAGGTTTCTCTCTCTCTCTCTCTCTCTCTCTCTCTCTCTCTTCCTCTATTTCCCCATTTCACTATCTCGGATCTAGGGTTTTATTTTATTTTTGATGCTGTAGGATTTTGATAAAATCATTTTAGGGTTTTACTCTTTTTCTACATTTGAAGCTGTTGGCTTTTTTGGCCTTCGAAGGTTATTATTGTAATTGCGAGCGTGCTAGCAAGAATCAACCAGTCCTTACAGAAAATTAATTGCCAACCAATTATCAGACGATTGTGTTTTAGTTCTTTCAGCCTCAATGAAGAGGACTTTTACTGGTGGCTTGATTTAGGAGAATTAAGCAAAATAACAATTAAATGAAGAACAGTTGAAGTATTTCATTAAAAATAAAAAACTTACAATGATCCAAACTCAGCCTCGTAGAGGTTTACAGTAACAATCTACTTGAAACTACTCCTATGAACGACGTGCAGTGCAGGAATTTAAAGTACAAGAAAATGAAAGACTAGAAATGTAAAACTGGAAAGGAAAATAAGTATAATAAGACTGGTTTTTTGGATCTGAGTCTGGGAGCTTTTTCTCGGCCTTCGCTGCTATTTATACTTCTCGAGGATGACCATTGAACTGTATTTCCAACCGTCGAATTGCTCCTCCATGATCGCTGATCATGTTGCCTTATAATTAGCTCCACTGTGCCATCACTTGCAGTTATGCTTCCCTCCTAAATTTGAATTTAAATGTGAGTAATCATTGAAGCCACATCACCTTACATCTCTTTGTTGACCCATTGCTACTCAGATCTCGTAATAACCAATACTAGCTGCCACGTGTACGATCAGGATCGAAGACTTGAATAGTCTTCCTGTACTATTCTTATTTTGCCACGCGTCAAATTGTAATTGGCTTGTACAAAATATGTAACTAACATTACCCCCCGCAGTAATATACCCAATACTTGGTGATATTAGTGGATCAAGGTCTTTTACCCACGTCTTAGAACGTGCATGGGCTTTGCATTCTCCCAGAAATGCAACTGTCATTCATTACTTGTATTAAACTCTCCTTCAATCTTTTGAACACTCCCACTACCTTAGTATTTGAACAGACTGATACACTTCCTATGGCCGAATCAACTTTCTCCTCCATTGATCAAGCACATGAAGAGTCATCTGATGATGCTGTTCCTCCTCGAAAGAACCTCCATGCATTAATTAGCCACTTTTACCCACCTTTCTATATTCAGGTCATGGATGCCTTTGCAAATTATCAACCCTTGGACTACAAACACATTGCCCTTAATCCTTTGATTCAGAAACTTACAAATATGGACATGTGAAGTTCTTCTTCTGACTCACCCTTGGACTACGAACAAACTGCTATCAATCCTTTGATTCAGAAAGTCGTAAATATGGACATGGGAAGTTCTTCTTCACAACCCTCTGCATGGGATAAAGCTGTAGCTTCTTCTTCCTCTGGGACTTCTAGCTGGACAAGCTGGTCAAAACCTGAGGCCTGTGATTTAAGGGAGCGAATCAACTATCACTTTGTCGAGTTTACTGACCCTTTAGAGTTCTCTTCCTATGCGCGAAGCTCAGTGGTCTATCCTTACGTGCCCATCGACCATCGACGCAGTTTGGAGAAAAATTTGCTTGTAGCATGGTACACATCTTCCATGCCTACAAAGATAGTGCACGCTGCCCGACGCCTTGAAGAAGCACAAGGGTACAATCCATCGTTCTTAGCCCAGAAGGTGAAGCTTTGCTCTTCTGACTGGCTTGATTATATTAATGCCCTTGTTCCTTCTGCCCTTGCTCATTCTCCTGAAGTAGAAGCTTCCATACCTTCTCCTCCGCTAACTCCTTGTTGGACAGAGAGACTGAGGCTTGCTCTCTCTGCGGATAAGGTCTTTCTACCTTACAAACCTCCACCTCCCCCTACTCCAGCTGAGTGGAAGCAAGCCCAATTCCTGCTTGCAGCCTTCTCTCACTTACCTTTCAGTGTTCTTGAGGACGAAGTCCCTCTCAAGAACCTTCGATGGGCTTGTGATATTCTGACTCGGGGTCATGTCCTCAATCCCCTCGCCCAAGCAGAGCTTCACCTGTTTTTGGACCAACTTCCATTGCTTCTCTACTGGCATCGGACCTCTATAACCATCACTTAATCTTTAGACCAACTCTCGTCTCTTCGAGTTCATGCCCAGTACGAAGCAGAAAACTTCATTGAAGAATTCGAAGACTTCAAGAATAAAGATTCTGCATATTGGGATGACTCGGATATAGACGAGTTGGAACAAGGATTCATTGCTTCTCCACTGGTATCGGACCTCTATAACCATCACTTAATCTTTAGACCAACTCTCGTCTCTTCGAGTTCATGCCCAGTACGAAGCAGAAAACTTCATTGAAGAATTCGAAGACTTCAAGAATAAAGATTCTGCATATTGGGATGACTCGGATATAGACGAGTTGGAACAAGGATTGAGAGAAACAACATTCGAAATAAAGGCTGAAGAGCTCTTTTATGAAGTGAGAGCACATCAACTTATGCAGCCAATTCTAGAAGAAATACAGGATAGAATAAGGAAAGAACAGAAATTCATTGATCATAGTTGGACAAAATTTCACGATCTTGTTATTTATTCCATTCCCTACTTTTATGAGCTTGAATTTGTACCCGAAGAGGGCCGTTCAATGTAATTGCTTTTGCTTTAATACAACTAAGACTTTTCTTTGTTTGGCCTTTATTTGATCTTGTTTCCGTTTGTCTTTAAAAGCAAATTTAGGGCTTCAAACTGAACAATTTTATCCTTCGAATCTGGACTCAATCGTTTTAAATGAAACACTAAAACACCAATATGAACTTTTCCAATTTATGGAATAAAGTTAACAGTTTTGCTGATTTTCATTTAGGATCAGTGGTTCGAATTTTAATAATCTTACCCCTTAAAGCTTGTTTTAATCATAACCAACATATGGTCATGGTTAGCATGATCAATCAATTTTAAATTGACCTTCTTTCCTTCGAACAACAGTCCATACTTTCAAAAATATGGAAGCTCCTTTTGAGGGCTGCACTGTTTTAGTTCAAAAAGATAATCTCTTTCTGTATATATATATAAACCAACTAATGGTTTTGATGTTTTGAACACCAACTCCCATCTTTAAGGTGTCTCAAGTTTTGCTTCGAAGGACATTAGTCTCATTTAAGAAACCTAAAACAGGTCTTTAATCCCTTTGAAGTAAACAAATACTTGAGCATTCTTATATCCTTAGGTATGGATTGTGCTTTGAAGTTGACTTCTCTGTTTCGAAGCCGTTTGTTATTTGACTTTTGTCGTCAAAATCTGGTTTCGAAGTCAAATATTTTACTTTGAAGCTGGCATCAATATCTGGAATGTGTTTTCTTTCCCTCCAAAAATATCAATATTCAAGGAAATTCTTCGTATTTGTACTTTTAGTACTTAACGAATTACGCGAACAAATACTTGAGCATTCTTACATGCTTAGGTATAGAATGTGTTTCGAAGTCGGCTTCTCTGCTTCGAAGCTGTTGTTATTTGACTTTTGGCACCAAAATATGGTTTCGAAGTCAAATATTTTACTTCGAAGCTGGTATCAACATCTGGGATGTGTTTTTCCCTCTAAAAGTATCAATATTGAAGGAAACTCTTCATATCTGTACTTTTAATACTTAATGAATTACGCGATACATTTTTCAAACACAAAGGCTTTGTTAAAACCCTTTTATTTCGTGTTTTGAAATCACTCGCTCGTCTAACACACAAACCCTTTATCTATACTGACTCTCTACTCCCTTTCCCAACTTCATCCTCTGAGAAAGCTTTCAATCAATGGCTTCTTCTTCATTGAAAGTACCAGTTGTAGAGCGTGCGAGCTCGTCCGTAACCCTAAAAAGGATCATTGAGGCAGAATGTGAAAAGTACAAGGCCAGTGAGAAAAACGCCATCGATGGACGCATCTTCATCTCTCGACGTCATGAGCAACAGGACTATGTGCTTGGGCCCATCTTCAAGGAGATTCTTACTGAGCTTCCAGCGTTATATCCATGTCTAGAAGACCAATGTCTTCTTTACGAAGGTGGTCTTGACTGGGGTACTTAGAGGATGAACCATCCCCACCGATGCTAGCCCACGGTGAGACCGGAGTGGCAAGAATGGTACGATCGGGTTGTCTCTGCTAGGACTTTGGACCTTCAAGAGCACTTCCTTCTCGATGCCCTTCGACTATCCAGGTTTACCATCTCAGAAGACCCTTTCCTAATTCTGCTGCCCTTTGCTTCTGGAATTCTATTTTTAATTTTTTTCAATTCAGATGTGGGATGACGGCCCCTACTGTTCTTGATATTTTCCATCTACTAGGATTGTCTCCCATTGGTACCCCCATTGGACCAGATTATCCTGACTCACCAGTCCTCTTTTCCCTTCCTTCCCTTAACTCATCCTACAATGACTTTGTCAAGGTCGAAAATAGAAGGGAGGGCCCTATAACTGATAGGGAATTCTTTTCTTTCATATTATATTGACTTTGCAAATTTCTTTTTTGCACTTCTTCTCAAAGAATTATGCCTGAATTTGCCCCTCTTGCCAAAGCTCTTGTTCTACAGAAAAATGTGGCCTTAGCCCCATATGTTCTAGGTCATGTATATAGAGCTTGTTCTATTTTCTGTGAGAAACCTTTAGATGCCAATCAAGGAGGTCCATTTTGGATACTTCAGCTTTGGCTTTTTGCTTATTTTGCTGAGCTACAGTCTAAATGCCTTAAATTTTTTGAGCCAAACCCTCCTACTCATGGCATGAGGCTAGCCAATGCTTCGCTTTATCCTTCTACCTTTGCTTTTTACTTCTCTTTCTTCCACCAACTTCCAGCTTCCCTTCTTTCTTATAGCTTTCGTCCCTTCGAACCTATTACTATTGGCCCATCTTGGTTGAAGAATTTTCTAAGTGATAGGCTCTGTGCTTCACCTCCTCATAAAGATATATGGGCTTCTATTCTGATCCCCAGAGAGCTATTTATTGGGACTATGAATCCCAGAGCCTACAAATGCATTGCTAAGCTTATTGTCCTGCTCAATTTGCTAGACAATTTGGCTTCTCACAAGGGGTTCCAATACCTCTCTGCAGTAACACCAATCTAAGTCTTACTAGCAGGGATTTAAAGGTTCGAAGGTCCAGACTAGAAGAGGCAACTTCTAAGTTTATACAGGACTTGATCGATTTTGAATACATCCCTTTCATTCCTCAAGGTAACCCATTGAAGAGGTACCAAAACTGGTGGGTGACCAACATTGAAGTATACTTGGCCATTGCTCCTCAAGACTTATTAATGGTGCTAGATGTGCCCCAATCCAAACCCAAAGGAGCTGGAGTTGCCATTTCTTCCACTGCTCTTACCACTTCAGTTCCTATGCCTGCCACCACATAGTCTACTCCTGGTGCTTTCACTCCTCCTAGAGTTACTTGGGCTGCTTCTAAGAAAGGTAGATACCCTTGTTTCTTCTCCTTTTGTCTTTTTTTATAATGCTTCTTAGCCTTATCCTTTGTTCTTCTTTTGTGAAGGTGGTGTGGGTGCTTCACAAGGAGATTCTCCTCAGAAGACCCAAGCTTTACATCTCCTCAGGAGCAAACAGTAAAAGAAGAAAAGAAAACTCTTGCCTAATCCTGTCAAGGAAATACCTGAAGTTCAATTGGTAGAAGAAGAAGAAGAAGAAGCTCAAGAGCAAGAGACACTCTTACAAAGAAGAAATAGAGTAACTGTCTCTTCTTCTGATTTGGCTCAAGATCCTACTCATGAGACAACTGCCAGAGTAGTAGCAGAGGAACTCACTTCTGAGGAATCTGAATCCCAGATTGAAGAAAGAGAAATTGAGAAGGAACAGGCAGCACCAATACAGAGAAAAAAGAGAAGGAAGATAACTGTCTCCCCTTTTGATTTGGTCGAAGACCTTGTTCATGAGGTAGCTGCCAAGGCAGTGGAAGAGGAACATTCTAAGGCCATAATTGTTTTTGAGAGAGCTGAGAAGAGACGATAGCAGCAATTCTTAAGAGATGAAGCTGCTACTGCTGATGCAATCTAAAGGGAAACTGCAAGAAGACAATATATTGCTGAGCACTATTCCTTTCATAGCTCTCCTATTATTGTTATCACTTCTGAAACAAGTAACTTCTTTCAAGCCTTTACTGTTTTTCCCTTGTCAGATTTTAGGTACTGAGGCTTGACATTACTTTGTACTTATTCTTTTGCAGCAACAACTACTGAGCCTGTTCTTCCAATAAGGACTACTTCAGTTTCAGTTGAAGCGGAACAAACTCAAGATGTGGAGAACATTCAAATAATTCTGCCACTTCCAGGCCCTATATTTTCTATACCCTTCCTAAGGCCAAGTATTCCTGCATCACTTTCTTTTGGCTTAACTCCATATCTTCCTTACTTATCTTTTGACCTATCTCAATTTAATTCTCTTTCGAGCCTTGCTTTTCTTTCTCCTCCTAAGGAAGTTCCAGCTATTACCTTCTCTTCGATGGTAGCTGATTCTCCTAAAGAGGGTGCTGGCAGCTCTCCAACTCGTAGTTTATTACTTTTGCCTAGTTCCAGCCCTTCTTCTCTTGATTTATTAGTGGCTAGAACCATAGAGATTGCTGAAGATGCTCCACCCATTTCTCTTATCTCTATGCAGTCCTTTGTGCCTTCCACCAAAGCCCTTTCTGCCCCCTTCATGTCCACAGATGAGGTAGACATTTTTGAAGCAAGACTAGCTAGTCTCTTCAACCTGCCTTCTACCTCTTTAATGGCTAGTGATGAGACTGAGTCGTTAGTTTTGGCTGATTCTTTACTAGAAATTTTTGAGAGCTCTTTCTCCAGTAGTAAGCCTTCTCCACCTCTGATAGACTTGGAAAACTGTCTGGAGCTATTGACATCTTTTTCGAGGATTCCCTTCGAGGCCTTAGAGAGACCTATAATAAGAAAAGACTTCCTTCAGTGCTGCAAGATTGTTGAGCAATGTGGCATGACTGTCTCAAGTCATTTATCTCAGGCAGCAGCCACTATTGACTTCTATATCAACATTTGCCATGCTGCCAAGGCTGCAGAGGAGATATTAGTTGAAGATCAGAGCTTTGTTTCCACAGTGCATACTGAGGTATCAGAATTAAAGGAACAACATTCTTCTGTCTCCCACTTTCGAACTCAACTACTGGAGAGGAAAGCTCAACTTGAGGAGGAGCTATCTGCAGTGAACCAAGCCTTAATCCGAACTGACACCAAACTGCAGATCACCAACCAAGGATTGGCTGACCGAAAACAGGAAATGACCATAGCCATCCAGTTGTTCTCATCTTTTAAGAATAAAACATCCATTTTAAAAGAACAACTGAGACATTGTAATGATTTTTGGACCAATTTATGGCAGAATGTATTCAACTCTTTATGAAGAACAAATTCTTATTTATCATTTGAGTATTCTCGTGTTCTTGTACTTAATGTTTACTTTATTCCTTGTGTTTCCCAAATGGTTGGAAAATAAGACTTCAAATATCTGCCATTAATCTTTTTGAGATATATGTATCTATTTAAATTTCTCAAATGGTATGCTCCAAAAGGTAGGACTCTATGAATTTGATATGGTCCTTCCTAATTAGGTGACCATTTGCCAAACTTATGGCTTTTAATCCTTATTGGGAGTATTATCTTCCATACCAAATCACCTTTATCAAAGCCAATGTATTTGACTTTTTGATTATAGTTTTTGGCTGCTTTCTTCTTTTCAAAAAGAATGCTATTTAATGCCAGAATTCTAGCTTCATCTATACTTTCTAATTCTAAGCACATACTCTGATGGTATTGCTCAAGATCTAACTGGTCTTGGCATCTTACCCTCAAGAACTTGACATTAATTTTCACAGGTGACACTGCGTCATGCCCATATACTAAGGCATAAGGAGTGACTCCTGTGCTTGACCTTGGGGAAGTTCTATAAGCCCACAATACATCCAATAATAAGTTATGCCAATCCCTAAGATTGTTTTCCACAACCTTTTATATTCCTTTTTTCAAGAATTTATTGGATGATTCAACTTGACCATTGGCTTGTGCATAATAGGGGGTGGAATTAACAAGGCTAATTCCAAATTCTGCCACAAAAGACTTCATCATTTTCCCATCGAATACTGTCTCATTATCAACAATTATAGTCTGTTGGATACCAAATCTATAGATTAAATCCTTAATGAATCCAATGACCTCAGTTTGGTCTACAGTTTTGTATGGCTTAGCTTTGACCCACTTAGTGAAGTAATCAGTGGCCACCAAAATGAAACAATGATGCTTCGAAGAAGGTGGGCGTATTTTCCCTATCATATCCATGGCCCATCCTCTAAATGGCCAAGGCTTCACTACTGCATGCAAGTCAGTTATGGGCACATGCCTTATTGTGCCGTGCTTTTGACATGCCTAACAACCTCTTGCATATTCTATGCAGTCTTTAAGGATAGTTGGCCAATAGTAGGAATGCCTTCGAAGCAACCATCTCATCTTCACACCAAGCTGATGAGCACCATAGATGCCTTCATGAACCTCAGCCATAGCTGTCAATGCTTTTTTCGGGCCTAAACATTCCAGCAATAAACCATCTTCCCCCCTTTTGTAGAGAGCATTACCATATATAATGTATTGCATAGATTGTAATTTAATTTTTCTACTGGTCTTCGAAGATGGGCCAGCCAGATACTGCATTATTGGATGCCTCCAATCTTGTTCTTGTAAGTCATTATGATTGACTTCCAGGACCATATTCCTTTTATTTAAGGGTGGTATTAATTTCTGAAATGTTGTTTGGCTTATGTCCCTTTGAGCATTATCCCTTCTCTTGAAATTCGAAGCTTTCTGAGCCACAACATTAGCTCTATTATTCAAGAATCTTGGGACATGAGTTACATTTGCTATTTGAAATTGAGAAAGCAGATGTAATGCAACAACGTAGTATGGCAACATGCTTATACTTTGACATTTGAAAATCCCTTTCACTTGGTTAACCACCAATTGAGAATCTCCAAATATGTCAACTGTATGAACTTGCAATCTAATAAGAATTTCCAGTCCCACTATTAAGGCTTCATATTTAGCTTGATTATTAGAACAAGTAATCTCATCCACCCTGAAACCATGTGTGGTTTCTACTCCTTATGGTGATTTAATCACTATACCAATTCCAATTAGGCCATTGGCTTTTGATCCATCGAACCACATTTGCCATGGCTCAACACTAGCCATACCAAGTTCCATTGTTTCTTGACTTTCTGTTTGAGATGGATGATCTGCCAAAAAATTAGCTAAAACTTGTCCTTTTACTGCCTTTTGGGGAACGTATTCTAAATGAAATTTTGATAAGGCTAGTATCCATTTGCCAATTCTTCCCCTCAACATAGGTCTAGATAACGTATACTTAATCAAATCTGTGGTTGCAATTACCAAGACAGTTGTAGGCAACAGATAAAATCTTAATTTCATTGCAGCAAAATACAATGGCAGGCACAACTTTTCTACAGCTGAGTATTTAAATTTATAAGAATTTAAAAACCTACTAAGGTAATAAATAGCTTGCTCCTTACCTTCTTCATTATCTTGGGTTAAGAAAGCTCCCAATGAATCCTCAGCTGCAGCTATGTATTACTTCAAGGGCTTCTCACCCTTTGCTGGCATCAGCACTGGAGGGTTGGCCAAGTAGGCTTTGATTCCTTCGAAAGCAATTTGATGCTCTGCTGTCCACACAAATTCTTCTTCATCTTTTAGCCTTAACAAGGAAGAAAAGACTTTAGTTTTCCCTGTAGTGTTAGAAATGAATCTTCGAAGAAAATTAACCTGTTCAAGGAACTTTTGTAATTTTTTCTTACTTGATGGAGATCTAGCTTCAATGATGGCTTTAGCTTTATTCTGATCAATCTGTATTCCTTTCTGGTATACTACATAGCCCAAGAAGTTTCCAGATGATACGCCAAAAGCACATTTAAGAGGATTGAGTTTCAACTTGAACTTTCTTATTCTTTCAAAAGCTACTTCTAAGTGAAACATATGCTCCTCCATAGATTGGGATTTAACTACAATGTCATCAATATAACAGTCTAAATACCCACCAATGAGGTCATGAAAGATAGTGTTCATGGCCCTCTGATATGTAGCCCCAGCATTTTTCAGGCCAAATGGCATTTTAACCCATTCGAAAGTGCTAATATTCCCAGGACATCTGAATGCTGTCTTGTGAATATCCTCCTCTGTAGTGCAGATTTGGTTGTAACCAGAGTGCCCATCCATCATTGATAAAATTTGATGCCCTGCTGTGCTGAACTGTCTACCAACAAATCTACTATAGGCATGGGATACTCATCTTTTGGAGTTGCTAGATTTAAGTTTTTGAAATCAATACATATCCTCATTTTATCATTCTTCTTAACTACAAGCACAATATTGGATAGCCATTCAACATACCTGGCTGTCCTAATAAAGCCTGCCTTGAGTAGTCTAAGGATCTCCTCCTTAACTTTCTGAATCACTTCTAGACTCATCCTCTTGGTTTTTGCTTGTATGGCTTGAAATTAGGCCTCATAGGGAGCCTATGTTCCACTAATGACCTATCCAATCCTGGTAGTTCATTATAAGACCATGCAAAACAATCTTTATATTTCTTCAGAACAAGCAACAATTGGTCCCTGTCCAAAGCATTCAAACAAGCACTTATATAAATGGGTTGCTGTATAGAACCTTCCCCTAAATTTACTTCTTCTAAGGGGTCTTGTATCTGAGAACTTACTGAAGCTCCTTCTTTGATCCCTTCTGGCTTCAAAGCAATCTCCTTGCTTTGTTCCGCTCCCAGATTTTTTGATTCAACATCTTTACCCTCCTCCTCATAGACAAAGTCTGTCCATAAGGCTTCTTCTTTCTGTATCTCCTGGACTTTTGTTTCAATGTCCAATGCACAATATTTATCAAGGGCCAAAACTCTGGCCTGTTGCTGCTTCTGCTTGCAGCCAATTATCATGGCTTCTTTCTCTTGCTCTTGCACTTTCTGGACTATTGATTTTACATCCAATATTGAAAATTTAATTAGAGCCAAAGACTTGGCTTCTTGTGCTTCATCTCTTTGCCTACAACCAGGCATCATTGTCATCCTTAATGACAACCTCTTCGTCAACACTCTCTTGGACTAAATGCTTCAGGTGTGTTACCTCCTCATTAGCCGTCGCTTCGGCTGAGCCATCAGGTTTCCTCAGTATACTGAGTGGTGTCACTCCTTCAATATACAACTTGGCCTCTGTGAAGTCTGCACAGGCTATGAAAGGTTGAGGATCTGCATCAATTTTCTCTGTCTCTCCATTGCCCAAGGCCATCATTATTTGCTGATGCAAAGAGGAAGGCACACATTTGTTAGTGTGGATCCAATCTCTGCCAAGTAAAGCATTGTACTTAGCATTACTGTCGATCACGAAGAATGCCGTCATGCAGTCCCTGGTTCTCATACTCAGGTTGATGGGCAGAATTCCCTGAGCCATCTGTTTGTCTCCAGCGAAACCAGCAATGGTTGTGCTGGTCGGGATTAACCTAGGGTTTCTTTTCCCTAGTTTCTTTAAGGAAGATTTCGGTAGTAAGTTCACCGCTGCCCCATTATCCACCAAGATGTGGTTCAATTGTATCCTATCGAAGAAGGCCTTGATATACAAAGGCTTGACATGTTGTGTCATAGAATTCGAGGGATACTCAAAAGGATATGAGAGGTTAATACTCACCTCTTTTTCATTCTCATATTCAGTTTCCATTAGGGTAGCCATTCCGGAATTATCTTGCACCATACTCACTTGCGAGTCTTCGCTAGAGACTAGAATTGGGTCAATTTCTTGCCCCTCTTGGTCCTCATCTCCAGCTTGGAATTCATGTGGTAGTATGTGTATCATATTCACTGATACTGAGTCAAATTGAATGGCCGGCTGTGCTTGTTTCTTCTCTTGGCCACCTTGTTCAGTCACTTCAGAAGCATCTTCCATGCTGCATTCTGGCACCTCATTACTGACAGACTCCTTCGAATGGTCTCTTCCGACTGGCTTTTCAACCAAAAATGTTTGTTCAGCCATGAAGGCTTCGAACATTTCTTCCTCAACCATTCTTTTCTTTTGGTCTAGGCTAACTTCTTCTTCTGTCTCGCTATCACTTTCCATCAAAGCTTTCTCTAATCCTGCTAGACTGGACTTCTCTTTGGCTTTTAGTTCAGAGTGAACTTTGGCCAATTGTTCTCTGCTATAACCCATTTTGTCTTGTAGAGTTGGTTTTGGAGTATGGTCTGACTTTGAATTCTTCTTTCCTTCTGTCTGGACCAATAAGGAGCTTTCTTCACTTTCTTTTAGGTCTTTCTGGTACTGAGTGTACCTACGCTGAATCTTTCTTCTTTGTGATCTAGAAATTACGGGGACCATATCTGGTTCTTTTGTTTTTGGGTGTTTAAGCAATACCCAATTGTTTGGAGCCACCAAAGGAGGTTTGATCATGCTACCTTGGTTTCCAATAACATCTTTCTGGGTAGAAACTTCCCTAGGTTTGTTCTGCATCACAAACCAATCTGGAACTTTAAGTACCCACGAACTTACTGACTCAGCTGTTGAACTGCTTCTTTCCTCCTTCGAAGCCATCTTCGAAGCTGGCTACGAAGGCCACTACTTGGCCCTGGCTTCATGTTTTGGGCCTAACTCAAACCTTTGATGAAGGTAGCCACTTTCTGTCTTGCGCGATACTGGTCTAGGGGGCCAATCTCTGGCTTTGATCCCACAAACTGAGCCCCTCTCTGACCTCCTTTCAGAATGAATGTTCTCCACTCTGTAATAGTTAGGTGGCCTAGACTCATATAAAGGCCTCTTGCCTTTAGAATGCATTCTACCAGCTGTTGGCTCAACCATCAATGGCTGCTGCCTAACACTAGTTGGGTATGGCCTTTTGTTGTGAGCACTAGTTGGTTTAGGACGTCTCTGCACATCCCTGTAGTATTGCTTCCCATCAATCGGGAGCCCTTTCAGCCACTTATAGCTCAACCTACACCTGAGACACATTCTTTGGATAACTGCTGCCTCCAAAGAATCATCATCCAGTGTTTCTTCATCAGAGTCTTTTCCCTGACTTGTAGAGCCTTGTCCAACAACTGGCAGACTTCTAGTGTCTTTCTTAACAGTAGCCTGGTTGGCAATATGCATTTGCACATTGACCTCTTCCAATTCCTGCAGAGATAAATTCTGAAAGTCTGGTCCAACAACATTAGTTGCACTTTCTCTAAGTTCTGGAAATGGATTACTGTCGATCATCATGGCCTTTTTTGCTTTAGCTGGGAATTTCAAACTTCCTTTCTGAATTTGTTCTTGGATCTTGTATCGAAAAACAATACAGTTTTTAGTCGAGTGAGACCAAGAATTATGCCATTTACAATATATTTTTCCTTTAAGTTCATCTGGAGATGAAATTTTGACTCATTTTGGTAACTTAAAGAAGTTGGCCGCAAGCAAATGATCAAAAATGTCATCTGCCTTAGTTAAATCGAAAGAGTATTTCCTATGAAGGTCTTTCTTTTTAAACTGTTGGTCAATTGTTGTATCCTTATGAATTAATGCTTCACAGATCACAGGTTCTTTCCCCACAATCTCTGCTGCATCGATCTCATAATTATGATCTCTATAATATGTCTTGTACGATGCATTATTTCGATCTTGCTCCTCCTCTAATAATGCTTCGTACCTAGACACCTTATAAGTGAGTTCCATTAAGTCTCTGAACTCAGTTGAGTCAAACTTCTTTCGAAGCCTAAACTCTAAGCCATTTTGAGCCAATCTCACGAATTCTGGCTCTGGTAGGATGACTCTGTATTTATTTCGAGCCCTTTTAAATCTGGCAATAAACTGGGTACCCTTCTCATCAGGCCTTTGACTCAATCTTGCCAAGTCTGCCATGGAAACCTCTGGCTCCGATTGGAAGAATTTGGCATGAAATGCCTCTTCCATTTGTTGTCACGTTTGGATAGAGCCAGGTGTAAGGTTAATGTACCACACAAATGCTCCCCTAGTTAAGGAATTTAGGAATAATCTTAACTTCATATAGTCATTATTAGTAAATTCAACGCATTGAGCAGCAAACCTAACAATATGCTCCACTGTTGATTGGTTTCCATTCCCATATTTTGCGCCTACTGAACCACTACTGGAGGGACAAACACAGAATTTGGTGGACAACCTTGTGCCTGTGGCCCTCTTGGTCCATAAGGTGGTATATTTGGGACTGGTTGTCCCTGTGGTGCAAGTTGCTGTTGGAGGTGTGGGTAACCCCTTTAAGCCTGTCCTGTGAAAGGACCTGCGAAAGGTACTGGAACAGGTGTTGTGTCTCTTCCATTTGTAGGAAAACCTTTCAACCCCTTGGGTATAAATTCGAATAAGGGATTAGTGAACCCCCTCATGCTAGGTATGGCTTCGAACATGGGATTTGGAATCATTCTTATACCATTTTCTTGTACTGGGCCAGATCCACCAATTTGTATGGCTTCATTGTTAAGTGCTGAGGCATTTTGACCTGCTATAGGCCTCGAAATAGGTTCGTACCAAGACTAAGGTGATGGTCTTTCATAGTTCTGATTACTAGTTTGACCATTAGAATGCCCATTAACTTGCATAGGCTGTTTATCTGTAGCCAATCTTTGCTGAGGGACATTTAAAACTTCCTCCATGTGTCTTGCGTTTGTTGGTTGGTGGTTATTCATTCGATCCAAAGAGGATGTTGCCCACCTTTCCATCGTGTTCATTAACTGCTGTCCCATGGCATTTACTAGGCCACCCTATGGATTTATTGGTTGAGTAGATTGAACAGTGGATGGTCCAATTCCTTGGTCTTGTCCAATATTACGAACATGTGGTACTTGTTCTGACGTGCTGGTCTGTTCGACCATAGGTTCTGATAAAATGGGAACTTCCACAGGATGTGTTATCACATTATCCTCTGGATTAGGTATCTCTACCTCTCCTTCCACGCCTTCTTCCAGGCGTTCATTTTCTCCTTGTCTTCTACGTCTAGCCATTTCAATTGGTCCCACTAGGCGTGCCAAAAATATATGTTGGATTTTTTGGCTTTCGAAGGTTATTATTGTAATTGCGAGCGTGCCAGCAAGGATCAATTAGTCCTTACAAAAAAATAATTGCCAATCAATTATCAGACGATTGTGTTTTAGTTCTTTCAGCCTCAATGAAGATGACTTTTACTGGTGGCTTGATTTAGGAGAATCAAGCAAAATAACAATTAAATGAAGAACAGTTGAAATATTTCATTAAAAATAAAAACTTACAATGAGCCAAACTCAGCCTCGTAGAGGTTTACAGCAACAATCTACTTGAAACTACTCCTATGAACGACGTGCAGTGTAGGAATTTAAAGTACAGGAAAATGAAAGACTAGAAATGTAAAACTAGAAAGGAAAATAAGTATAACAAGATTGGTTTTTTGGATCTGAGTCTGGGGGCTTTTTCTGGGCCTTCTCTGCTATTTATACTTCTCGAGGATGACCATCGAACTGTATTTCCAACCGTCGAATTGCTCCTCTATGATCGCTGATCATGTTGCCTTATAATTAGCTCCACTGTGTCATCACTTGCAGTTAGGCTTCCTTCCTAAATTTGAATTTAAATGTGAGTAATCGTTGAAGCCACATCACATTGCATTTCTTTGTTGATCCACTGCTACTCAGATCTCGTAATAACCAATACTAACTGCCACGTGTACGATCAGGATCTAAGACTTGAATAGTCTTCCTGTACTACCCTTATTTTGCCACGCGTCAAATTATAATTGGCTTGTACAAAATATATAGCCAATAGAAGCACATATGAGGTCCAAGTTGTGTTTAATTCCAAACTTTTGTTGCTCTATTTAAGCAATCGTGAAGAACTGCTTAAATTGCTGAGTAGAGTTATATGTGTATATATATATATATTATTATTAGGTAGATAGCAATTGATTTAAGGTACTGAACAATTTAAGAATATTATTAGTAGGTAAGTTAATGGAAAATTTTAGGAGTATATTGATATAGATTATATATGCTTACACTTCTAAGTCGTAGGAGTATAGATTGATATAGATTATATATGCTCATGCTCTGTTTTTTCCCCTTCTATTGCTTTAGAGTTATACAGTAGATGAGTGGAAATTATAGTTGTTGATGCTCATGCTCTGTTTTTTTCCCTTCTTGAATGACATTGGATTGATATTGATTATGGACAGTTTGGTTTAATTATTTCTGTTCGTCCCCTCCCCTCTCCTCCCCAAACTTAACGTTCTTTTACAGAAAAACACATCAAAACTGAGCTTGCTGTTCTGACTAAAATACCTCCCATGGCCTTGGTTTTTCAAAATTTTGATAATTTTTTTTTCTTTTTGCCTATATTAGTAATTTTCTTGTTTCTTTTTTGTGAGAGTGGGGATTTAAAGTTGTTTTGCCACATAAAAACTACATTTATTGCTCCATATGTCGTCAGTTGGAGGTGACACCTGGCCTGCATAGCTTGCAGGAGAAGCCAACAGAGGGTGATGTGGTGATGCCACGTAGCGGGGGTGAGTCCATGTACCTACAGGTTGTAGTAGTGAGGGATGTATGTAAAATTTGACCGCTTTGCATGTAGAAGTGGTGGTGGTTGTAGTTCATAACTAAGTTATGATCAAACTAGTTCTAGCTAAACTATTAACAAATTTGGTGTTACCTCATAACTAAAATAAGATCAAACTGGTTCCACTTATGAACAAATTTGATGTTAACTCATAATTGTTAGAAATTTGAGGGGAAAAATATTTATTTAAATCATAAAAATCTTTTTTTTTTATCAGTAAAAAGAAGAGAGACTTTATTGATATAAAACCAATGTACAAAAGGAAATTACATTAATAGAGGCAAAGAAAAGGTAGGTGCAAAGAGCATCGTAGCAATACAATTGATCCCAATTAGGTCCACATGCAAGCACACCACCGAGGGTTGGTGAGGGGCCAACCAAAACAGCCAAATAGACCCCAAAAATATGAAATGTACCTACAGGTTGTAGTAGTGAGGGATGTATGTAAAATTTGACCGCTTTGCATGTAGAAGTGGTGGTGGTTGTAGTTCATAACTAAGTTATGATCAAACTAGTTCTAGCTAAACTATTAACAAATTTGGTGTTACCTCATAACTAAAATAAGATCAAACTGGTTCCACTTATGAACAAATTTGATGTTAACTCATAATTGTTAGAAATTTGAGGGGAAAAATATTTATTTAAATCATAAAAATCTTTTTTTTTTTTTTATATATAAAACCAATGTACAAAAGGAAATTACATTAATAGAGGCAAAGAAAAGGTAGGTGCAAAGAGCATCGTAGCAATACAATTGATCCCAATTAGGTCCACATGCAAGCACACCACCGAGGGTTGGTGAGGGGCCAACCAAAACAGCCAAATAGACCCCAAAAATATGAAAAAAAAAAAACAGAGCAAAAGAAAGGAACATGAGCAGCAACAAACCAAATTTTCAAGATCAAATTAACTCATAAAAATCTTAGCAGTTGAGTTTGGTTTCAACTATCTCAATCTCTTTTCCAAGACCACTAAAAGTTAGTCAAATTCATTTACTTTCATACTGTAAATTTGTCTGTCAATATAGATGTATATAATTTTGTTTATTACTTGACTGTCTGTAAGCATGTATTGTTATTGACGGTATGAGAGTGCTCACACCATAATATGGTGGGTTGCCTCATACTTTATCATAACCCAATTGGTGGTAATATAAAACCTTCTCGCAGGAAGAAATACAACTGGGAGATTTGAATTCAAAACAAACAGTCACAATGGCAGGAAATATGGTGACTGTTGGTTTAACATTTGAGCTTGAATGTTTACAACTATTGATCAATGGCCACCATGTAAACTATAAATATATGGCCTCACTACAATGATTATTTTACTTCATTTTCTTAGTCTCCGAATTTCATATATTCTGGATTGTATTTTTCCTCTGTGCGATAAACACCCTCACGGGCTAATCGATCATTACCATTGTTAAGTTTGTCTTACAGTGGTATCAGAGCAAGGATACATATTATCGCAGATGTCGAATTTTAGTCCGGAAGAAAGACAAGTTTCCAAACTCTTTTTGTCAAAAATTCAGAAAATTATTGATCAATAATCTTCGGCATTGGTGAATTTTGTTTGTTTATTTAATCATCACCAACGTGTCGTATTCCCAGAATACTATCCGAAAAAAATAACTGTTGGTGGTGTAATTGTTCCGAACCTTGCCGAAAGTGAAGCCGAATTGCACTGTTGGAAGAAATTTTATAAAATATTTTTCGGTTCAAATTGGGTCTCCAAATTGGCTCCATCTGGTTCTTCACAGAATTTTGATCACAACGGTGAAATTCGTTATGAAAAACGGCAAAAATTTGATCCACAAAATTCGAATTTCAGTGTGTAGTCTCCGACTCCCGTCACCGGAGAAGACAGCTTGTGTATTAATACCGTTGAAGATTCAATTCTGGAAATTCAAAACTTTGGGCCAAAAATAAAACCAACTAAAAGGGGCCCAAAAATTAGATTAACTACAAGGAAGTCCATTTCTTTGGGCTGCAAACTTAAAAAGACTTTTATTGGGCCAAATCAAGTGCAGCCCATAGGCAGAAGTGTGACCCAGCAGCCCAACGCTGCAGCCTAACGCGCGTCCAGGTCCCCGCGTCACCCCAGCGCCCCGCGCACCGTGCCCAGACCCACGTCCGTCTACTCTGCCCGACCCGCGCACTGATCCGCACGTTGACCTGCACGTTGACCAGCAGTTTGCACCGGTTCGGTCTCAGCCGGTCCAAACCGGTCCAACACAGTGCTCAGACCGACAGTAGCCTGGTCCAATTGGTTTTTTGGCTTGTTCTTGCTCATTTCAAGGCCGTTTTCAGTCATTCAAAAGCCAAAATTTTCAGAATTCTTCTAAGAATTTTTCCGTGGATCGTTGTACTAAATTTTTTGAAAACAAAATTCGAGGAGGAGGCTATCCAAGGGTGTTACCAAGGAAAACATTCAAAGAAACATTGTTTAAAAGGCACCATTGTGTTCCTTGGGCTCGTAACTATTATTACAATACTTATAAGCAAAGTATTGGGTTTACTAGGCCTTTGGGTTTTCATCATTCTTCTTACCCAAGGCAACAGTACCATTCTATTCCTTCACATCATTTTCATCACAGGGGCTGATTCAACAACTACAAGGCTTTTCCTTATTGTTGTTGTTTTTCTAATTTTGTTTTTTTTTTTTTTAGTTTAGTATTGTAATATTCACATTTGAATTTTCATAGAAACACATTTTGTTTTTAATATGGCTATTAAAAATACCATGGATTCTTCAAGGATCGAAATTCTTAATGGAAATAATTTCCGAGCATGGAAACGCCATATTTCTTATTTTCTTACACATGAGAAAACATTGCATACTTTATCCACTTCTAAACCAGATGATGATTCTAATTGGTTCCAAAATAAATGGATGGAAGATGATTGTAACAACCCTCATACTGTTTACCGACTGATGACATTACCGATAACGATAACCATCGATTACCGTTAAACTGAATTGATTATGACTGATAATTGAACTGATTAAAGTACTGAACTGACTGACTGAAATTGGAAACCGAATTGATTGAGTATATGTTAGTTAAATTGCATTCTATCTGTTTGACTGTATGATTATCTGTTCATGCTTATATGTTTAAACTGCTAATTGAAGGCCTCGGCGGCCGAATTAGAAACCGATTGATGTTCCATGACCCTCGTAATTAATGTGATTTTATGGTGTATTTACCTGAAAACTGATTGGGTATGATTAAATTAGATTAAAATAAGCTAATTAAAGAGTTTGACGTAATTACACTTTTGCCATCTAGTGGGGCCTTTGTTTACTCATATTTGAAGCCTTGTGTATGCTTTATCAAAACATTTCATCAGCCATTTCTTCTTGAGTTCGATCAGATACTCAAATTCAATTGCTCTTGGACAAATGTAATAACACTCGTATGAGTGATAATGATAGTGTTGGTGATCATGTTAATCAAATGGAATTAATTGCTAAAGAATTATCCAACGCTGGTCATTCTTTGTCGGACAAGATGCAAGTAACTACCATACTTAATAGTCTTCCATTGTCTTGGGATCATGTTATCACCTCTCTAACTCATAACGGACGAGAGATTTCAATGGTAACATTGCCTGTACTCTTAGTTTTGGAAGAAGAAAGAATGAAGCGCAGGCGTAAAGAAGGATTGTCTTCTAACTTGTTAATGGCACAATTTTCACCACAACCATAGAATAATACCCACACTCCATTCAACAAGAAAAAGACGAATTTTTTCAAGAAAAAATGGAAGAAGGGATTTCAGAAAGGATGGAAAAACCACAAGAATGGCAAAAACAACAACATCACAAGCATCAAATTGGCCCATGTTACAAGTGCGGTCAAAAAGGTCATATCAAAGCCAATTGTCCTCAGAAGAAGCAGACAAAGGAGCATAATCCTGTTGCCATGACAGTTTCTGAAGCAATGGTGCTTAAACCTTCATTAAATTCATGGTGGATTGATTCTGCTGTAACTAGGCATATTGTGCAAAATAAAAACATGTTCGTGGAGTTTACTGAAAAGAAGGTTGGTGAACACAGAATCTACATGGGTAACAACTCCTATAGTGATGTTTTGGGCATCGGCAACTGTCAATTCTTTATTAATGGAACTTCTATCGTGCTTCATGATGTGCTTTATGTACCTAACATTCGGCGAAATTTAATTTCAGTTCCGGTGTTAACTAAAAAAGCATTTGAGATTACTTTTAGGTTTACCACAGTATTGATTAAGAAAGGAAGTGTATTAGTGAAAGGTGTAAGAGTGAATGACATGTACTCTCTTCCTATTGATAATAAAATTTGTATTTCTGATTATTTGCATGTTTCTACTAGTAATAGTTCTTATTTATGGCATTTAAGGTTAGGTCACATTAATAAAAATAAAATGTCTCAAATGTTTAAAAGTGGCTTACTGC